TCAGAGGGCCAAAGTGAATTTTTGATTCAACTCCGAGGGCGCGAGTAAATTTTGGAGGGGCGTGTGCCCCCACCCCCCCGTGCATCCCCTAGACACGCCACTGATGTAGACAACTGAGCCTATGTGAGATCCACTGCTCACAGGGTTTTGATCCTATTTACTGTACAACATGTATTTATATTGCACTCCCAACAAATCAATAACATTACAAAACCTAGTTTTCAGATTGTCTTGTAATGGGACAGACAATTAAGGGATTAGAAACATGGTGATTATTTTTGAAAAGGACAATTAAATATATTGATCAAGAGCAACAGTTGCATTACAACAGACACTCTAGTTTACTGGTAGGATTACTTCCAATGCCAGAATCGTAGCTGAGAAAATGGTCAACTCCCTGCCCTTTTAAACTACTGCATCTATATTATAATTACGCCTATTTCAAATCCTATGGACACAATGCAAAACCAAGTCCTCAATAAATGTCTGGGATGAAAAACCTACTGAAGTGAATATCATCCCATATTTCAGATTAATTGAGGGGAAAATATGACTTTTACTGTCGTTTTACCGAACGGTAGCTGTCTCGCGAGGAGCATGTGTGTACATACTTCCACATTCGCTAGCTGTGTCAGTCGGTCAACATCAAGCACAGTTTTTCAATGAGTTACATTAAAACATTGCTTTAGCTGCCCCTGACCAAAATATGTTGTATTGTAAGCCTACAGTACTATATCTATTATAAATAATGTTAATTTTAATGCAAACAAATATTTTTTCCAAGGAAAATGATGGAGAGAAATACAAGATATTTCTCCACAATTAATTCCACTCTGATTCAACTCAATTTAGTGGTTTCTAAGTATTCTTATGTTATGAAAAAGGATATGAAACTGCTATTAAAACCTGTACCTAAATGCTGCAGTTTCATATAAATTTAGTGGTTTCTATTTTCTAAATTTATCTTATTATAAATCTTAGTTGTCATATTGTTTCTTTTATCAAAACTAATCGCGACGTTCACATACTAGAGAGTATGCAAGCCTCATCAATTGACATTTTGAGAGGTTATTAACAATTTTTTCCATGTCTGTACCATTATCGCTACGGTACAATGCATTCTACCAACACAGAAAGAGTGGCAGCTTGGGGAGTAGGGCAGTTGTGTCTGTCCGTCTGGTTAGCGTCAGAGTGTCTTATTGAACAGGATACCCTACTGTACTGCACTATGCGTGCAATATATGGTGTAATGCAGTAACCCTACCAACTGCCTCCCATTTTGCAGGACGGTCTCGCATTTCAAGTCATTTTTATCTTGTCTCAGCTTTTATGAAAGACACATTTTGGAAAATCTATGCGTGATCATATTTCAAAACCTGGAAGTTTTGACATGGCATTACCAAACACTTTCACCTTAGGTCATGATGCCCTGTATGAGCATCTAGTTTCCCAAACCCTCGAATGGCAGTACGCGCCATAGTACAACTCTTGCCCTGCCTGCCGGGGTGTTGGCCCTGCCATCAGGGAGATTCTGACCCTCTCACATGAATTTTAAGAAATGTACAATTAACTGATCAACCATAACTTTCAATGTTTGACGGAGTAACATTTTCTTTTGAGATTATGATAAATTTTATGTACTTTATCAGTAAGTAAAATAAAATAATTCATTAAATATTTTTTTCATATTCAAAATTAGAGAAAATGCCTTCGGTAGCAGCTCATGCAGTTTCCCACTAGCTTAGCACTAACAAATGTACATATTTCTGACATAACAAAAGAAGATGGTGTACATTTCATCTACTTTACTCCGGCAAATCCACAACAATAATTGGATAAGAATTACACACAAAATTAATCAGCTATTGAACAGTCGATAACCGTAACACCTTGCATTATCAAATTTTATTGCTTGGTGTACACAGGAGAATTTTTCAAATAAATTATTTGTATGTGCTCGCATTCATAGTATAATTTATTCATTGTTTTTCTTGTTTATTTTAGTATCATTAAAGAAAGGCAAATAACTTTGAGTGTGTTTGACTAAAGTCATTATCATATCATACTCATTTTTTAAATATTCAAAATGCCTGTTCCTCTGTTTATGGTATTCCGTATTATTTTTTATTTATTCATATACATTGTATTTTAAATTCTGTATTTATATTTGATCTCATGCTAAATTTCATCATACATATTAAAATTTAAATATTCCATATTTTCAACCATCAATATGATTATACTGTACCTGATGATAAATCCAGGTGTAATAATAAATGTATGCGAATAAATTAAACATAACAAGCTGCTGTGGGTTATAGCAACTTTGTCCGACCATGTCAGGTGACAATTTCTAAATTGACAGATTCATGGTCGAATTGAAGATGAAACGTGAACATACCTCGCCCGAAGCTGTTAAGATTGTACAGGGCTTGAATTCATAATGTAGAGCACAGCAAATTATGCATGCATATTCAAGAAAGTATAAGTAAAGTGACAAGATTTCTTGATTAGTCTTTAGAAAAGGTATTTAGTCTTTAGAAGAAAGTATTTTGTAATTAAATATAGATTTAGAATCAAATTTTACTTCGATACAGTTCTTACTAAATTCAGATTCAATAACATATTTCCATTTAAGAAAAAAACAATGAACAAGGTGGCATTGCCTAGAAAGCAACATGCTTGAAGCAGGGATGCCAGA